AAGCCCAAGGTGTGGAAATGTCCTTCAGTTTATCTGTTAATATTTTAAATTTTATTTATGATGTAAAACACTGATCATTTATTGAACAGGATGGAATCATTTCAGATTTAAAGAACTTTCAGAAGTTTGAATTCTCAATGTGAGCGGACTTTAAACACTTTAAACGGAAAGCAGTAACCTTCATGTTCCTTCTGAAACCGTTTGCTTCCCTCTGTCTTCAGCAATACTCTAAATATTTTATTGATTTAAATGACTATGAGAAAGGAGAGAAGAAGCAGTTTCTTAGCTCCATCTGGGTGCTAATAGCTTCTGGCATCACTTGAGCTCAAACCCCAACCTACAGAATCCTTTTATGTTGATTTTAGTATCATAACCAGAAATAAATCTTTGTATGTTTTGGACCCGTCAAAATTAAGTACGCAATTATTCATAAACTATATTTTTTTATTCTGCTCCAGCTTGCACATTCTCTGGGTTGTTTTTTATTGTTATGATGAAAGAGTTGTAGCTCTGACCTTTTAACCTGTGTCCGGTCCAGCCCGCGGCCGGAACTTCATCCTGCTCCTGTATGTGTCGGTTCTGCTGTCCGGACCTCTGAAGAACACGCTGGAAAACACCGAACGGGCCGCCTCCAGCCTGCTGTGCGGCGGCGAGCTGGCAGCCAATCAGACGAAGGAGCTGATGCAGAGAGCGGCCACACCTCTCTACTGTAAGCCACACCCACCTCCTTCAAATCTGAACATAAACAGAAACAGTAAAAATGTCATGAAATCATTTTAGGCATAAAACCTCAGAGCAGATCAAACGGTTCTACGGAGTGAATTTTCTGCAAAAATGTTGCATATAAAAAAAGCATGTTTCACACAAACAGATTTTATCACTCAAAAATAAACATGTTGCACTCAAATTAATTTTATTCTTCACAAATAAAACTTGTTCTCCTCAAAAGTCACACACACAAAAAAAATGTTTTCAAACTGTCCTTAAATGTTGTAAACACAAAAGAATTATTTTTCCAAACCGGACTCTAACATTGCACTCTAAATATAAATTATAAATTGTCACTGAGTATAAAATGATCTCTGCTAGCTTATAAATCAGCCTCTCCTCGCTTACGAGACATGCTTTTTTTTTTTATGCAACGTTTTGGCAGAAAATTCCCTCCATACGGTTCCGCTAATCCTCACATGTCGGTTGTTTCTATGT